TCCCCTACACTTTTGTCTATCACTAAGTTATTGGGTTTCCTTCTCTCTTCCATTAGCATAGCCTACTTCTTCAGCTACTTCAAAACATTGCCATGATGATTCAAAGGCTGGGGCAGGGAAGGTACTAAAAGAACAAGAATCTTCTAGCATCTTGCAGTGCTACAAACATGTCCAAATGAATAGGAGCTAGCCAGAAGGAGCTCTCACTGATCAAACTTGGGACAAATTGAGAATCAAAAGAAATAATGATAGTTAAGGTTAACCATAGAATAAAATAGATATCCCTGAGTCCACACTGATAGAAATATATAAATAAATGAGGGAAAGCTCTTCTTTGCAGTTGAATGTCAACTCAGAAAAGCAGAAGAAATGTGGGCTGGCATCGTGGGGTGTTGGGTAAAGCTGCTGCCTCTGATGTTGACTTCCTATGTGCGGGCTGGTTTGAGTCCCACCTGCTCCGTTTGTGATACTCCTGGCTAATGTTCTGGGAAATGCAGCAGAAGATGCCCCATCAGCCATGTGGGAAACCCAGATGAGCTCTCTGGCTCCTGGTGTTGACTTGGCCCTGGGCTAGGTGTTGTGGTCTTTTGGGGAGTGGACCAGTGGATGGAAGAGCTCTCTCTCTCCATCTCTCTCTCTCTCTCTCTGTCACTAGAATTTTCAAACAAATAAAGTAGAAGAAATAATGGAATTGGAAAATCAATCATCTAGCAATCATTTTAGACAAGTATTACCAACAGAGGCAAAACTAATAGATGAGATTCTGGCAGGAAAAAATACATATTTACACAGTATCCAAGTGTTTCTCAAGAAGACACTGATTAATTGAAACGCATCTACTGTAGAAAAAGCTGGCGGTGCCACTTCCTAAATGACTGAAGTTGACACTACATATTGTAGGATAAGAAGAGAGTTGGTGCTTTCTGCTGGGATGTGCTGAGGCAGGCACATCATGTCCAGGTACACCTGCCAAAAACGCACACTTGAATCTAACCGGGGGGAAGTATTAGACACATCCAAAGCGGCATACATCTTGTTAACAATCTGTCTTTCAAAAATATAAAGTTATTTTCTTTCAAGCTCAGTGGGACCATGGTGGCGTTGGTCTTATACTGATGGGATCAAATCCTTTCTCTATCACTTATTAGCCATGGGTGGGGAAAGTTACATGAATTCTTGGAAACTTAAATTGCCCACATGTAATGTAAACTCAATAATACTTGTCTTTAATAATTTTCAGAATGAACAAGAAGGTATTTACAGTGCCTGGTGCCCACTGGACAAAGGTCGTTTCGTGTGGTGTGTCCTTCATCTTAAAGGGGGAGTGCAGGCCTAGAAAGGGTTGGCTGTACCTGAGGCCCCTTGGCACACTTTCCCTGTTGACCTTCATATAATCGCAGAGGTGGCCTTGAAACATTAGGTAGCAAATGAGATTGGTGATTTTTTCCCCCCCCAGATGTGGCAAAAATATAGCAATTCTACTGTGTTCCAAGTCTGAGATTTCCTTTTCACATTACTTCTATACTTACAGCCTACATTTGTAACTTTGGAAATCAGAGGCTTCATTTTTTTAAAATGTAGTAGATTTCATGTATAGACCATTTTATGTTGAAAGCAAGGAATGCTTCAAGTGTAGAAATATCAGCCCACAGGCTACCCTGGTTGCTTTGTGAGAGGGACTGGAGAGGGTCCCCGGCCCCACAAGGCAGGATGCTGCTTTAGGGCCAGGTGATCCCCTAGGCAGTAGATGAGACCCCATATCAGAGCTGGGGTAGGCCATGTGCAGGGGAGCTGGAGAGAGGACTCGGTGGTCACTCAGGGGTTTGCAGCCTGTTGGATTCTGAATAAGGTCAACTCTTTCTGGCAGTGACCATAACTGACTAAGTCAGAGAACATTTCATAAATCATTCCAACTTCAGATTTTCCTGGAAGGCTGGCAGGCTTGCAGCAACCAGGTGAGCAGGATTCAGCCAGCAAGGCCCCTGGGAGCAGCAGGAAGTCACAGATCCTTTCTGGGAACTGAAGATGTGTGCTAGTCTCCCTCGCCCATCCCCCTGGTTCAACTTCAGGAGGAGACAGGAGGCTGACGAGAGCATCTGAGGAACCAGCTGGTTTATTCCGGAAAGCCTGAACACCCCCAGATGAATGGTCTAAACAATCAGGCTGAGTAAAACGGAGACTGGATGAGATGCAGTTGTTTATTTATTTGCTTATCAATACAATGACAAAATTAATTGTAGTCAAAATAAAGCAAGCACTGTGTTGTATATATGTGTGTGATACTTGTGCATGTGTGTATATGCATGCATGGTGATGTGCACACGCATATGTGTGTATATATGTGTGTGTGCATGGATTGTGTGTATGTGTGTATGCATATTATAATTGTGTGTTTACATATGCTTACTTATACACAGTTGTTCCTTTTTGTGTGCAGGCTCTGCATCCAGGGAGTTAGTCAACTGAAGATCAAAAATGTGGTTAAGACTGTGATGGTTGAGCCCGGCACGGTGGTGCAGTGGTTAAGGTCCTCGCCTTGCATGCCCTGGGATCCCATATGGGTGCCGGTTCTAATCCCGGCAGCCCTGCTTCCCATCCAGCTCCCTGCCTGTGGCCCAGGAAAGCAGTTGAGGACGGCCCAAGGCTTTGAGACCCTGCACCCACACGGGAGACCCAGAAGAGGCTCCTGGCTTCAGACTGGCATAGCATTGGTTTGGTCGTTGCGCTCACTTGGGGAGTGAATCATCGGACGGAAGATCTTCCTCTCTGTCTCTCCTCTCTGTATATCTGCCTTTCCAATAAAAATAAAATAAATCTTAAAAAAAAACTGTGATGTTTATATTTGTACTGAATAAGTACAGATTTTTTTCCCTCTTTATTATTCCATAAACAATACAGTATGACAAGGCATTTTCAGTAATATAGAGGTGGTTTTAGGTATTCAGAAAGGTGTGCATAGATTTATATGTAAGTATGTTACCATTTTCTATAATGCACTTGAACACCCACAGGTGTGGGTATCTACAAGGAGTTCTGAATAGAATGTCTGGGAGATTCTGAGCATCAATGATCTAGATGTAGATACAGATAGGTGTACATATGGATATGATATGAGCAAGGATATGGATATAGGGAGATATAGATGCAGATATAGAACGGTTAGACACAGACATGTCTGGTTTGGGTATAGGTATGAATACAGAAAGTTACAGATACAGTTACATAGAGATGTGGATAAAGATGTGGACATGTGTTTGAGCATGGATGTAGATAAAGGCTTAGGTGTAGGTAGAGAAGGAGACAGATACAGCTAGATTTATTTCAGGTATTGGCTCACTTGGTTATAAGGTTGGAAAGCCCATAATTTGCAGGGCAGATCAACAGGCTGGGGATTCAGGAAAGAGCTGCTGAGTGAACCTGACATTTATCTGTTGTCAGAATCACTTATCTTTCAGGAAGGGGCAATTTCTTTCCCATTTAGGCCTTGAAATGATGAGATGAGGCCCACACATTAAGAGCAGTTATTCAATGTCTATGGATTTTAACGTGAATTTCATTAAGATATGATACATTCACTTAGGATAGGATTTGACCAAATGGTTGGATGTAGAGCCCAGCAAGGTTGATGCGTGAAGTGAGGCTCCTTGGTAGTGCTCAGGAAAATAAGCCCAAAGGGCAGGGTTTCTCCAACAGGCTGATTGCAGCGACATTCTCATCTCTCAGTAGATTCACATGGGCTTCGGTCCTGTTTGTAATTTTATGCCCTGTTCCTACCCAGCTTCCTCTCCCTGGAATGCCCTTTTCCAACCTTGCTCTCTTACAGCTGGAAAAAGTCCACTCATCTTTCAAAGTTCAGATCAAGTGTTAACCGTGTGGCACTTTAATAGCACATCCTGTCCCAAAGATCTAGTGCCTTTCTCAGTGCTGTACACCTGCCCCACTGAAGGCTTTGTCGTGTTACGTCTTACTGTGTGTGCATCAAGGAACACATCAGCAGAGTGACTCCAGACTTTACAGACTTAGTTCCTGAGCTCAGCAAGTTAACCACCCTCTCTGTGCTTTGGTCTCTTCATCTGCAAAATGAGGCTAGCATGGGGATTTCCATGTGACTTTATAGTGGGAACCTATTGAGTTATTTCATGTAAAATCCTTCAGAAAGTGTCCAGCATAGTTGGTACTTGCTTTCCTACCTAGTGTTACTATTGCCATTTAATTCCTGTGTCAGGTGGATGGAGTGGATATTTCTGAAAATTGGAGAGCTAATTCTATGCCTCTTTGCATTTCTCTCCAAAAGACTACATGAGGTAGGTCAGGAGTCCACGGCCATTTACAGGATAACCCTTGGCCACCTACGTCCATGTGACCCACATCCTTGGAAATAGAAAATGGGAATATTTGAAAAAAAATATATCCATACCAAACATATTCAAACTCTTTTCCCTTATTGATTCCTAAATAATATAGCACAACAGCCATTTATATGGCATAATGTCATGTAATACTTAATCTAGAGATGGTTTAAAGGATACAGGAAGGTCTGCTTCAGTTGCATATAAACATAAGTATTATGCTATCTGATATTAAGGATCAGAGCTGCTAGGATTTCGGCATCCTTGATGGGGTCTGGAATCAATTGCCCCGGGGTACCCATGACCAGCTCATTTAGAACCTCTATTTCTCTTCAGAATGCAAAGGCTGGCAATGTCATCACCCATTTAAACCTCATGACAATCCCATCTGACAGATGAGGAAGCTGAGCAGCAGGCATTCAGGGAATGGCCCCATGTCACACTGAGCTAGCAAGTGGCAGCTCTCAACTCCCAAGTCCTCGGACAAGTATAGAGATGCCAGGGATCCCAGGAAAGTTTTTCCCTTCTGTTCCAGTCCCTGTGCCCCTGCCCCAGTTCCTTCATATTTTTCATCTTCCTGCCAAGAACAGGAACATCATGGGGTAGAAGGTCTCCATCCCACCACAGTGCTGACTTAAGAAATAAGGCGGGCAGAAGAAGGCTGTTAATATAAGATGTCCTCGGCCGTGACTGTGGCCTCTTCAATTTTGGTCGTGATCTTAGGGAGGGGAATTTGACTGATGGCCACCACGACCAGGTTTGCAGCGTGGGCTGAAGCACTAGCCACGCAGATCCAAAAGGACTCTTCGTACTGTTCCTCCACCACCACGAACTGAAAGAGCCGCTCCTGAAAGTTGGCGATTCGCTCCGTCAGGTCGTGAAATTTCACCTCGGCCATGAAGCTGACGATGGCCAAGGCCACGACTCCACCTGAAACCCAGAAAGGGCATGCTCATTTCTGGCTCCGTTTTGTAGGTGGTAATGACTCAAGGCTACTTGCACAGCATGTACAACAAACTTGAGATAGTTTTCAGAAATAACTAAAGGGACACAAATTTCAATTTGTGTTTAACGGCTGCAGGTTAACCCATGCAGCGTGAGGGGCAAGAGGCAATGAAATAAATTTTGAATCAGATCCGTTTATAATATGGCTCCTTCTCCCTTTGTTCTCTGTCCCTGTTCCATTGTGTCTGAGGGGTGCCCCTTTGCAGAAGGACAGCTTATAAGGGTGTGGTTGTCATGTAGAATGTGAAAGCTGTGTAGGGAGCTAGAGGAAAACAATAATGTGTTTTTGCAGGCTGGGTTTGACTCCTGGGTGTGGCTGGGTGTTCCTCTCTCTCTTTTAAGGATGGCAAAGGGAGGTAGAGGAAACTTGGAAGGTTGTGGAAACTCACGGATTTCCTGTCTGCTGCTTAACATGTTGATGTGCTGTGTTCTCTCACATTTTACAGAACACATTTGCTGGGCTTTCTTATACTGCACTTTTTTGAATAAAAGTTGGATGCCAGTGAAAATCATAAACATGAAAAGTCGAAGTTCGCTCTAACAGCTAGGCATAAACATTGAACATTTTAGTATATTTCTTTCCAGCCAGCCACTAGGAGGATTCATGCTGAAATACACACGATATCGGAAGTCTGAGGGATGTCAGGCCATGCAAGTAAATAGTTCTGCAGAGCAACTGCTGTTTGCAAACCTAGGCAACTACATAAAACTGACTTCCTCATTATATTACCTTACAATTCATGCTTACATAACACTACTTATTCCTTAAAGCCATTTTGTATAAGGCAAAGAATTTATTATCATGGTGGGTACCATTCTAAATCTTTTCTGAGACAACCTTCATTTTATTCATTTCATTTTTTGCTCATTATTTTTGGCACAAATATTATTTAACCAACTATGACATCAATATACTCCCAGTGAGCATACACATAAACTTACACATTCTCTCTCTCTCTCTCTCTCTCTCTCTCACACACACACACACACACACACATCTTTGTTTCAGGTTTTGGCTTAAAAACATAGGTGACAATGATAAGCAGTGACACTGTGGATTAATGAAAGAACAAGGGCTTAGACTCAGTATTCTTGGGCTAGAATCCCATCCTTGCCACTCATGCTGATGTGATCTTTGAACTTCTGCCAGCCTCAGGCTCTTAGTTTGTGAACATGGGTCTAAAATATCTGCTGCCAGAAAGTCATGAGGTGTGGGTGAAACACCACCCAGTCTCCAGGTCTTGCCTGGCAGGAGCAGGTGCTTAGGAAGCAGCAGGTGGTAGAAGGGTGAGGTCCAGGGGAGGTGTCTGGGCAGGTGAGGAAGGGGGGGAGTCATGTCGTTGTACCTATCTGCGGCTGGATGGCACACATCCTCAGAGCTGGCACACAGATGGCTCCCTGCCTCCTGCTGCCTTCTCTTCTGTTACAGTGGAGGTCCTGTCTGGCTGCAGTAGCAGCTCCAAGTCCTCACCCACTCTCGTGATGCCCACCTCTCTGTACCCAAGCTCTCTGTCCTGTCTCCTTCGATCCTGAGACTTAAAGTTTCCTGAGGCTTAAAGTTCTCAGCCAATCATGTACTCTATGGTCTTCTGTGGTGACACTTCGCAGTTTTTGGTACCCAGGTCATCAATGCCCGGCTTGGACCTGGGAAGTGAAGGCCCAGGCAGGGCATTTTTGTTTCTTCCCAACTTCTTTCCACCTGCACACAGCCCAGCTTGGTGATGGCATGACTTGACTTTTTTTCCCCAGAGAGCTTCCTTACCTGCCAGGACGTTCCACAGGCAGATGCCCCCTGGGCCATTCACTGCCCGGTAGGGGACCTGAATCATGTTCAGAATGGCAAAGCCCATGCTGACCAGAGCCAGAGCCAAGGCCAGGAAGAGCAGCAGCAGAATCGTCACGTGGAGGCCCGTGTTGAGTTCTTTCACCAGGTGTGGGAAGACTGGGGAGAGAAGACAGGAAGTACTTCAGCCTCAGAACTTGGCCAACTCTCCCAAAGCTCACACTTGTTCTCTTGGAGGCTCTGGCAAAACGTGCCTGAGGGCTAGGCAGCAGGAAATGGGTTTTCGAAAACCAGAAGATATCTTGAGATGAATACATGGCCCCCAGGGCTGCCACATGTCAGCTGGTCAAAGATATTCTCTTCCTTGGAGTAGACACAGAATTTGCATGTAGTGTCCCTGACCTCACAGCTCTGAGGTCTAATGTACAGTGACAAAACGTATGCATGCACACTTACTTCTCCGATCGCATAACACTTCTTTAAAAAATGTTCATTTACCAGGCCCAGTGCGATAGTCCAGTGGCTAAATTTCACCTTGCACACACTGGGATCCCATATGGGAACTGGTTTGTATCCCAGTTGCCCCACTTCCCATCCAGCTCTCTGCTTGTGGCCTGGGAAAGCAGTCAAGGACAGCTCAAAGCCTTAGGACCCTGAACCTGGGTGGAAGAGCTCAAAGAAGCTCCTGGCTAATGACTTCTGATTGGCGTAGCTCCAGCTGTTGCAGTCACTTGGGGAGTGAAGCAGCGGACAGATTGTCTTTGACTCTCATTCTCTCTGTATATCTGCCTTTCCATAAATAAAGAAATCTTTTAAAAATGTTTGACTATTTAAGAGGCTGGGGAGGAGAGAGCACCTTGCTGGTTCACCCAACAAACACTGCCATGGCTGGGCTGGGCTGGGGCTGAACCTGGGAGCTGGGAACTCATTCCAAGAACCCAACCACCTGAGCCATCACTGCTGCTTCCTAAGGTATGCAGTAGCAGGAAGTTGGAGTCAAAAGCTAAAACTAGAAGTTTACTAGTAACTCCAATGTGGGAATCAAACTTCTTACTGACCAGGTTAAGTGTCCACTCCAAAACTTTAAAATAATGATATGCCATATGAATGTGGCAGAGTTCTCCAATGCCATGCTAATTTGTATTTTTCTGTATTTGCCACCAGTTGTGAGTGTGAACATGATAAAATATTTCAGGTATTGCCTAGGCAATTACTTCTTGGAAACGGTGGCCACAGTTGCTGCTATTACTATTTTTCTCTGTGACCTGTCAAATTCATGTAACCTCTAAGACCCTCAGATTCTTCATCAGTACAAGAATATCTGTGAATGAATTAAAAGAGATAAGCTTTTACTGCCTACCATCTGAATATTGCTCATGTCAAGGACTGTATATTTTATGAAGTATATTGTATTAATTCCTTTCACCGTCAAGGCTGGAGACATCAAGCTTCTTATCTTGGGTAAGGCAACTTTAAAAGTAATCTTATTTACTGTCTGGTATATAATTTCAGGTCAGTATTTTCAATGGATAAGAATAGAGAATTTTAAATGGTGGAAATTGAAGAACTCCTGAGAATAGCATACCTATTCTTCTTAGGTGAATCTGCTAGATGCCTCATGGTTAAGTAAAGTCTGTCTTTTGAGTACCATCCTGTCTGCTACGTCATTTGATACAGATGACTCGCCCTGTGTTTGCCTTTTCTTTGGGCCAGGTTTTACTTTGCAGATTCTACTCTCACTCTCCTAACTCCTTCCCCTCTAGTCCAGTTGCTGGCTCTCTGTGCCTCCGCCTCCCTTTATTCACCAAGCATCATATCTCCAAGCCCAAGAAGGAATTTTGACTTTCTTGCTGTTAAGGTATCTTCAGTCCATACTTATGTTGCCTTTCTTTCCACTGCTGTGTTTCCACTTGTTTTGTCTCCAGAAGGTTATCTCATCAGCCTGGGAAACTTGACCCTGGAAGGCGAGCTCCTTTCCCAGGAGTTCATCTCCCTGTGTGCATTCTTCCCTTGCTTCCATCCCACCCCCTTGACCCTTAGATCCTTCCCCCACTCACTTCCCTTTTCATACACTCAGCCCTTTTTGTTCCAGACATGGTAATTTATGCCTGGTTACCTAATTGTTTCAAACTTTTCCTTTTTTAATTTAAAGATTTATCTATTTGAAAGGCAGAGTTACAGAGAGAGAGGATCAGAGAGATCTTCTATCACCCAATGGTCCCCAAATGGCTGCGATTATAAGGGCCAGGCTGGACAAACCTAGGAGCGTCATCCAGGTCTCCCATCTGGGTGGTGGGGGCTACTTTGTCAGCTACATTAATACAGAGCTGGATGAAGTGAAGTGGCTGGGACTCAAACTGGTACCCATGTTGGATGCCAGCATCGCAGGTGGAGGCTTACCTCTACATACCTCAACACAGGTCCCCATCATCTCTTCCTTGATCAGGCACTTCTTAGGACAACTACCTTAGTAATCCTCACCAAATTTTTCAAATAATCACCTGCATATGGGATTGGCAAAGGTCAAAATATCTGTGAATATACCACATAGATGACAACATAGGGATGAGGCACTTCAAGTCTTGTTCATGCCTCCAGCCTTATTGGTAATATCTATAATAGCAACCTTATTTCTAGGAATTTACATGCAGTTTTTCATGTGCTCCAAACCGTGTATATTGGTTACTCCTTACAACACAGTAGAGTTGGGGAAAACCTACATAGGAGGTTGACTTAATAAAGATACAACCATACAACGTGACTATTAAAAAGAACTGATTTTACCCACATTTTGATATGAACCCATATCCAGATCTGAAAATTAACAAATTATCATATTGAAGGGAGGAATTTAGGGTACATGGTGAGATGTGGAAAGGGACAATGATGAATACCCCATTTTCAGCTTCTGAAACAGGACTGAATTAATTGTATTAAAAACAAGAAAACAAAACCCTTTATTGTCAAAGGCTGTATCTCATGCAGCTACCACATTCATGTGCCATATCTGAGGCCTGAGGGTCTTCCGGTGGACCGAAATCTCATTCTTTACCTGCTTGTAAGTTACTTCATGAAGATTCAACTCTTTCCTTGGGACACTGAATGCATCACTCCTTTCCACTTGGTTTTTTGGAAGGTCACTTGACACTAGTCCTGTCCCATGGTGCTGCCCCCGGAAAGCTGTTGCCCATTGTCTTTCATATTTGTACCCAATTCTAGAAGCTTTTGTGTCTCCAATGTAACAATTAGGCTTAAGTTTTAAGCTTGAAATCCACAACCAGAAGAACATACGGTCTATAGTGATAAACAACACATTCTTCCGTCTTCTGGTGTCCAACCCTTCTCCGTTGCTGCTTGGAGAAGGCTGTGGCTTTGCTAAGGTTCCACAACCAGGAGTCCTGTCTTAACTGCTTTACTAATTAGAGAAATCTGAAAAACTGGAGAAGCAGAGGTTTAAAGATCTGATCACACAGTAGTGTGAATTCCAGAGATCTTATTTTGAGTTTGGATCTCTTTTGAGAGTCAGAGACATCTTCCATCTCTTTTTTGATCCATTGCTCAAGTCCTGGGACAGCCAAACCTGGTCTGAGACTGAACTTAGCAGATAGGACCTCAATCCAGGTGTCCCAAGAAAGTGGCAGAAACCTAATTATTATAAATTATTTGGCCATGTAGGGTTTTCATTAGCAGGAAGCTGGAGTCATAAACAGACGCAGGCATTAAATCCAGAGACTCAAAATTGGTGTCCCTGTGGGCCATTAACTGCTAGGTCAAATGCCTGCACCAAATGGGAATATTTTTTTGGTAGGTATTAGGATTATGTCACTTAAATACCAGGACTACTTATTATTCAGTCAGCACTAAAGCCAATTAGATAATTTGCTTCTGATCCCAGAGAAGGCTGGAGTTCTCTTTGCCTCAGCAAGGCTCATCAGGAGAACATGACATTGAAGTAAGGGTCCCAGGCCCTGGGGGATATCTATGGGATAGAAGTAGGGAGGGAACTAGAGAATTAAAAGCTGTGATGCCCCAACTGTGCTGCATGCTTTTACAGAAAATAGTTCCTGTAGTGATTTCTCAGATCTTCAATGTTCTCATCAGTGAAGTGAGCTTTGTAAGATCCTAACAGATCACTCGTAAGTGGCCACGTGGGTACATCCTGACTCCAAGCTGGAGTGAAGGGACCAGAAGGGCAGTGGGGATGTTGTAATACCCTGGGGGTCCCCAACCCTCTGCAGTGGAAAGGCAGGAGAGCCAGCAGAGCCTGGGCTTGGGCAGTCTGTGAAAGCTTTCAAAGACAACAAAGTCCAGGGTTCTGTGAATAAAAGTTTCTAACGTTTTTCAAGGGACAGCCCCAGAGCCTCAGGCAACAAAACTTTCTCAAATACTGTTCTACTCCACAGCTGTTACTCAAACACTCTGGATGCTTCTCAGATCATACAGTGCTTCAGAGACCCGACTCTGCAGGGTGAATCAGACGGATGCTGTGTCTAATGAGTTCCTCCAAATAGTACTTGGGACATGGCTGACCGACTCTCAGCTGTCCACATGGAGGAAGGCGGGTAAGTCTCTGAACACAGCATGAGTAGACCTTGATTCAGGACTTCCCTTTAAACATCACACCCCCTTTTAAGTCTTACCATTGGGTCCACAGGCATCACTTAAAACTAAGAGATCCAGGTTGGAAAAAAGTATTACCTTCAGTGGTTGGTTACACTTCCTTTAGTTTTATTTCCTTAATTATATGTGTGCGTTTTTTGCTCTTATTTTTTTGATAGGGTTATTTTTCCAATAGTCAGAGTCCAGGTTAATTGCTGCATAAATATAAAGATGCCCCAAGACTTTTTTCTTGAATAGACACAACAAATACATATTTTCTTCATGTTTATGCATGATGATCATTTGCATTATATTTATCAACAGCTCCAGCTTTCTCTCTTCGTTTGCTTAGTAAGATGTTTACCTTGGCCAGGTTTCTAAAAACTATTGAAATTCTGAGATATCGAATCCAAGAAATGAATGCAACACCTTGTCCCTTCGTATTAGTGTAGAGTTGATGCATTACGGCTTCGGAGAACACTGTCTTCACTGGGGATCTAATTGTGGCATTCTAAAGACTTGTAGAATATTGCCCTGTCTTTAACCTAAGCCCGCCTTGGATTTCTGCCTCTCTGGCAGGAGCGTGCATCCTGAGCAGCTCTGAGGGGAGACTGAGTGTGGGCCAAGGTCTGTGCTACTCAAGTTCCCAAAGCGCTGGCAAGTGCCCGGCCTGAGTCTCCCGCCAGCAAACAGCAAAGCTGGGCTCCAAAGCGTTTGATTCCAGAATCCAGGAGCATGGCCCCTTTGCTTCTTCTTAGAAAGCTTGTATGTCACATTTCTTTCCGTAAAAGCAATTGCTATGCTTCTAGAAGGATCTTCTCTGCACCTGCATATGGCTGTGGCTGAGAAGATGTGAGTCACGTGGCCTGGGCCTGGAGTCCAACCCTGTTGTTTCCTGCCTGGGTGACCTCAGGCACATTAAGTGAACTCTCTGAACTTCAGTCTATTTTTCTGCAAAACTGATAATTCCTCCTCCATCAGTTTACTGTGCAGCCTACAAGACAGAAGCCATGTGAAGGGCAGTGGCACTGGGGAATATTTCATAATTATTATTAGTAGAGGTGAACTACAAAGATAGGGAATATCCTATTTCTATTGTTTCTACACACCTCTTTAGGAAAAGAGAGGCTACAGGAAGGGAGGCAGGCAGGTCGGCTAGTTTGGGTGTAGAATAAGAAGCCCAGCTTACTGTGGGCTTGAACAGGCTGCCTCACACCGAGGCAGCAGCCACATTCCACCTTCAGACATAAGCGCCCTGGCACTGCAAAGAGCATCTGAACCAGGTTTCTCGGCCCCATGATACTCACTGGTGAACTGGGACTGGCGTCCCCCGAGCCCGCACTGCCGCACCTTACACCCTCGGAAGAGCCCGTAGTAAATGTCTCCAATGAATTTAACCAGCTCTGGATCTGTGGCGTTGACCAGGTCCACTCCAGTCTGACAAAGGATCTTCCCACTCAGCCAGTGGGGCACGGCCAGGGCCACGATGATCAGGAGGAAGGAGGAGCAGCTGAGCACAGATGCCAGCCCATACCACGCCTTTTTGAACCATCCAGGCATGCTAGTGGGCGCGGGTCATCTCCAAGGTGTCCGAGCAACAGCGGGAGTCATGGGCATCTTCTGGGCTCTCCCAAAGGTACATCAGGATCTCAAGTTCATCCCTCGTCCTTTCTCAGCGTATGCATCTTGCATCTACTCCAGCCACATCCAGACGCCTACCTGAGACTTTGTGTTCACCTGCCGCTGCTCAGCCGAGTGTATTACGAGAGGAAGTAACCCTATAGCTCCCACTCGCCTCATGTTTCTGCGCAGGCATTAATTGTTCCCCTTTGCAAATAAATAAAATAAGCCCGCTATGGCCCTCATCCCCACAAGGGAGTCAGCGAACAGGCAAAGCCAGGCTGACCTGACCATAAAGGTGTGCTAAAATGATCTCAAACAAAAACAAAAGCAAAAACACTCCAAACAAGTAGAAGGCAAGCAAATGCGGAATGATTATCACCAACAATGTGCAGTGTCAAATATCGATCTCGGCGGTGCGTGCCCTGGCATTTCTCTCTCTAAAATGTCACTGCCATCAGCATTCTCAGAGCTGTTAGGGATCCCGTGAGATGCCCGCTGGCTCTTACAGCTTTAATTGGATCATGTAAACAACACTGGGTGAATCTGCTGAGGGTAAAATTGCAATGTGAGTCAGTCTGTCTGCTGAAGCTGTCTGGACCCTAACACGCCTCCTCCTGTCACCACCTCTCAGGTCCTCTGAAACAGAACAGAAATGTGCTTTCCTACCGTTGTTAGCCACCAGTGGTCAGGCTGCTGGGGTACTTGTCTAAAAGCTAAGAGGGGGTAGGTGTTGTGGTGTAGCCGGTTAAGCTGCCACCTGGGACTCCAGAATCCCGCGTGAGTGCCAGTTTGAGTCCTAGATGCTCTACTTCTGGTCCAGTTCTCTGCTAATGCTCCTTGGAAAGCAGCGGAGTGTGGCTCACGAACTCAGCCCCTTGTAAGAGACCCAGATGAAGCTCCTGGCTCCTGGTTTTGGTCTGGGTCAGCCCTGGCTCTTGTGGCCATTTGTGGAATAAACCAACAGATGGGACGACCTCTCTGTCTCTCCCTCTTTCTGTCTTCCTGTAAACTTGGCCTTTAAAAAGTAAACAAATAAACTGTGTTTTTAAAATAACAGTTTGGTTTACTCTATTGCAGAATGTCTTCTGTTGTGTGAGACCGGCAGCACTCCCTCTGGCAGAGGTAGCACAGGTGCTTTCTTGGCTGGCTGTAGAAGCCTGAGGGTTTCAGGAGCTTGCCCTGCCTACAGCTAGGAGTCCCAGGGTGTCCACTGGGCAGTGTTAACGGACAGGTCAGTTTCCTTCCTTACAATCGGAGTTTGCTTTAGGGCCTCCTCTGGAGTGAACGGAAGGAAGAGGCCTCTGGAACTTGGTGGGGCTTTGGCACACACAAAGAGCCTGTGCCACTTACAGGCACAGGGTGAGGGTGCAGCCACCTTAGGTAGTGGGCAGCGATGGGACGGTTCCACCTGCCTCTGCCATGGGAAAACTGCATATCTGGGCTGGAATTCAGTTTTTTCTTAATTTATAACATCTCAACTTCATGACTGTGACCTTGAAGTAGCCAATGTTTTCCTGATAACAAATGACTTAATACATACAAATGTAAAGGCTTATGAGACACACATTTGTAAGTGATTGATACTGTTATAACATTAAGCATATATTTATAAGGCAGTACTGTGTAATGCCTTTGGGGTCATATTTCTGCTGTACATGATGGCCTTATGTTGACTTCTGGTATTTTAAGGTATAAGCAGGTTTTTAAAGAAAGACACTATGGTAAACACACAGTTTCCAACTTCTTGCCATGCTGAATTGGAGGTGTGTTAAGCACACCTCCAACTCCAGCTATGGAAGACCTGGCTTCCAATTCCTCTTCTGGGAAAGTATCTGTGACCCTCACATGCTCTTTTTCTGTTATAAAATTACTGTCAAATGAGCTAGCCCTGCAGCATGGAACACCAAAGAAATGATGCATCCTGTCGAGGCAGTCTTCAGCTCTCTGATTTTTCCATAATGAAGTTTCTGAAAATAAATCTCATTGCTGGCGGTAGCCTGTTCTCTAAACACACATTTCTGCCTGTCTTACCTTGTGCAAATCTGTGGAACAAACATCTGTGTGTCGGCTGGTGACAAGGCACTGCATGTGGAGCGAGGGGGCAATGCGATGCTGCTTAATGTGACCCCTGGAAGGTCAAGACCTAGAGGGTCAACGAGATGGCCAAAGTGACAGGGCACAGGGCCCCAACCAACAGGGACTTTACTCCCCAGGGACACTTACCAAGACTTTGAGACATCTTTTATTGTGGTGACTGAGGCGGCAGTGGCCTACTAGCTGGCTTCTAATGGGAGGAGCAGAAATGCCAGGTTGTATGGTTGGGTATGAGTGGCACCATTTGGTGAGCCTTACATGTAGGCCATTGGTATTCTTGTCAAAAAAAGTTCTCCCACAACCACAGGCCCAAGGAGAGGAATCTGCAACATTAAATTTGTGCCCTTGCCAGACAAAGGGCCGGTTGGGCTGACACAGCTAAGAGGAAGCTAGCTAGGTTAGGTTAGTCTCAGGCAGACAGCTTGTTGCAGCAAGCCACAGGGTGTAGAAGGGGGCTTAAAAGGGGAAAATCTGAAAACTGTGAATTAGCAAGATAAGGGAGGAGGTCCTGTGATGATTATAAGCTGATGAGCCCATGCCATGAACAGCAAAAAAAGACTGGCTCGGCCACAGTCAGCATGCAGGGACTGGAGTGCACCAAACGGCAGTGCAGCTATGAAGGCAGGATGCAGTATTCAGTAATAACAACATGTTGGCAAAGGTATAAAACCCCCAGGTCACTTTCTTTCAACCACTTAGAAACAAGATTTATTCATTTATTTGAAAGGCAGAGTCACAGAGTCACTGGGATCATCCACCCACTAGCTCACCCCCCAGATGGCTGCAACTACTGGGGCTGGGCCAGGCAAAGCCAGGAGCCAGAGCTTCATCTGGGTCTCCTACGTGGGTGGCAGGGGCCCAGGGACCTGGGCATCTTCCACTGCTGCTCTAGACTCATTAGCAGAGTACTGGATCAGAAGTAGAACAGCTAGGACTGGAACCAGCACCCACAAGGGATCCCTGAGCAGTGGCTTAACTAGCTGTGTTACGGCGTTGGCCCCAACAGCTTTTTCTTTCTGAGAAAAGGGCCCTCACAGATGCTCTCCAGGAGTCCTCTCCCTGCTCCTTTCTCTAACGCCTTCTTCAGTCCTCTTCCTCCCTGCCTTTATGAGACATCCAGCCCAACACAGTCTTTGAAACGCTCTGTAACCGAGGTGGTGGTTAAAACGGTTTAATATTGTTCAACTGGCACTTTTTTTTTTTTTTTTTTACAATCCTACCCATGTTCTATCACTATGACCATTATGATTCCCATTTTACTGGCGAGAAAAACTGAGGTAGGAAGTAGTTAAGGAAGCTGCTCAGGCCACACAACTGTTGGATATGGGCACCAGGCAGTGGGACTTCCGAACCCTCACTTTTATGCAGAGGAAAACATACATACTTTGTCTTAGCTGGCCCCTCTTTTCTCCACAAGGGGCTGTGTTGGAGCGCAGAAACCACGGGCACCGGCGTGCATCGCGTCTCGCCCAGTCTCCGCCCTGCACCTGCCGGTCGCCGGGTGGCCGTGCGCTAGGCGGCAGCAGCGGGCGCGGCGCGGGGTGCGGCCGCCGCGCGGTCGCTCTTGGCGGGTTGGACGGGCCGGGGCGGGCCGGGGCGGGGCGCGGCGCCCGGGCTCCGGGCAGTCAGAGTCGGGATCCCGGCGAGCAGACCAGGATGGCGGCGGCCGCGGCTTCGGGCGAGGCGCGCCGGGTGCTGGTGTACGGCGGCAGGGGCGCCCTGGGCTCACGATGCGTGCAGACCTTCCGGGCCCGGGACTGGGTAACGCTGTTAGGGCTGCGGGGGTGTGAGCCGGTGGGGCGTGCACAGAGGTGACTGCGAGGTCCGGGGTCTCCCAGAGCAACCTGCAAGGGCAGGGAGACGCTGGGACCCCCGTGTGCTGCTGGTGCGCGCACAGGACCCTGCATCCCTTTGGTTTCTGAGAGCGGACAGGAAAAAAAAAAAAAAAAAAAAAAAAAAAGGTTTCCCAGCCTCTCGGATGCTGCTCGCTGCTTTGCTTTGCAAAGTCTGTTTCAGCTGCGTGCACGGTCAGGTTCTCATTCCCAGAACGCCGTGAGCGCGAGCAGAGCTGACAGGTGGTCAGGGAGTCCTGGGCCCAGCTGCAGCAGCAGTCAGGGCGTGAGTCGTCTTTGCTGTCGCGTGGTGAACGTCTGCACTGAGTTCTGAGCACCTTCTTGGGATGGTGGGTTTGGGACTGTCCCCAGGGCGTGGGCCAGGGGTAGACTTCCCCCAACATCTGGTCCAGGAACACACTTCTGAATGAGTCCTTGCACTGTGCAGCCTCCCTGGCCTCCACCTGCTGGGGCCGGCAGAGGACGGCGGCTTCCCAGGCCTAAGGAGTGTTCCCCGGGCAGGCAGTGGTGCTGCTGAGACCCGCGCACCCTTCACTGCCATGAGCCTCCCAGTCACTTGGCCTGGAGGGAAGGCCTGCTCCTGGGCTGTGACTTGGCTGAGCCTCTGACTCCTCTCCTACCCCTGGCTTCCTGGTGCCTTTGTCTTCATATTCCCTGTGGCCCCTGGCATGGCAGTTAATGACTGGATGCGGTGCTCACAGCTGAAGGAAGGTATGTTTACCTTTGGGGGCCTTCTGACCCAGGGACCAAGTGTCCCCTATGCTAGGAGCTGCAGCATGCTCATGAAAGCCTTGCACTCATCCTGTGAATCACTGATTTGAGGGTCTTCTCCCCCATTGTAAGGGTGAGGACCCTGCTGCCAAGCCTGAGCGTGAGGAAGTAGTGCCAGGATTCAAACCTGCTGTGTGTGCATCCTGAATTCAAAGTGTGCCCCTCTCTTTTGCAGGGCTGGGTTCCTCCGGGAGCCAGATCTGGTCAGCCACCTGTTTTTGTACAGCCTAAAGGGCGAGGGCGGTTTTACATGTTCAGTGGTTGGCAACAAAGTCCAAAGAAGGGACAAATAGAAGTTGCCTGTGGTTTGTATTTCAGCATCTAAAAGATACTGTGGAGTGGTGCCAAGCTCATCTCTTGCCCCCTTGCCAGGTACCACATGGCCAGCGAAGCCTGAAGTCGTTACTTCTGCTGACCCATGATGTGTGCGGGTCCAGAGTTAGGCTTTTAGATGCAGCCTTGTGGGGGGAGGTAGGCGTTTGAAGGCAGGATGGGCAGGGATGGGGTGCAGCATGGCTCCAGTAGGCTTGCCGAACCCAGTGTACCTGTAAGGAGGGTGGCGGGTTAGTTGCCAGTTCCTTTGCTTAGTGAAACTTCTCATTTCCGAACCTTTTCATTTATAGATTCAGACAAATGCTCAACCCCCAAATCCCAAATTTGAAAATCTACACTGTCTACAACTTTCTGGTAGATGGATGCTACAAGTGGGAAATTCTACACCATGGGACTTATGTGCACAGTTATTAAAAATCCTATGTAAAATTGCCTTCAGAAGGTTGTGTTATGCGGCGTATTTGAAACAAATTAATTTGATGTTTAGACTCAGGTTCCACCCAGGGTATCTTGTCATGTATGGGGATGTTCCCAAGTCTGAGGAAATCAAACTCTTCAACGCTTCTAGTCACAAGCACTTGGGATGCAGGATGCTCAGTCTTCGACAGGTCTTCTCTCACCTGCTTCTGGGCACCGCTCTTTGAAGACACAGCAGCCCATTGTCTTTTATCTGAGCCGCTTTCTTCCCTTTGCTCCAGTGGGTGGCCAGCATCGACGTGGTGGAGAATGAAGAAGCCAGTGCCAGCGTTGTCGTCAAAATGACAGATTCGTTCACTGAGCAGGCGGACCAGGTAACCTTGCGAGACCTTGTGGGAGGCAAGCTCCCGGAAGGGATTCCCACCCAGCCATTTCCCTTTTTCTTTTCAATGATTGTTTCTCAGGTTCTGAGAGCTCCCGTGCAGTTGGGCATTTAACCTTGCAGGGAAGCCCGGGTTGAGATGCCCACGTGTGGTATCTGAGAGCCAGGGCCCTGTGCCTGCCTCCAGCTCCCGCTAAGGCAGACTCTGGAAGGCACCATCAGTGGCACAATGACGTGGGCTCCTGCTGCTCACGGGAGACACCTGGCTTACTGCCCCATCTCCTGGGATCACCCTGGCCCAGTCCCACCTCTAGGGGCCTTTGCGGGGCAAAGTAATGGTTGGATGGATATCTCAGATGACTATCTCAGTGCTCTGGAGCGGGTCTGCCTTCCAAAGGAGGAGTTGTTTATCGGTTTTCGTGCCAGTGTTCCGGCCTATGCTCCCCGGGAAGTCTCCTGTGGTTCTCTGTGGGATGTATACCCACGAGGTGGCGGGGCCTGCTAATAGCGTGAACGCTGGGTTTCAGACACTGAGTGACATGGCCAGGGAGCTGGTTAGTGGTGAAGTAACAGCATGGGCAAACATTAATGAGTTCAGGTACCACTTGATTTATGACTGGCTCTACTTTGTTTTCTTCTTTAAAATTTTTTTTTTTCATTTTATTGGAAAGACAGAAAGATGAGATTGTCCGTTGGTTCAATTTCCAAATGCCCATGGAAGACACAGCAGGGTCAAGATAAAGCCAGGAGCCAGGAACTCATTCCAGGCTGTTGAGGTGTGTTGCAGGGACTCACGTGCTTGGACCGTCACCTGGTGCCTCCCACGTGCACATCAGCAGGGAGGCAGGAGTGGAGCAGGACTAGAACATAGGCTCTGGCTGTGGTCAGACCAAGCGGGTTCCAGTGCCCAGCTCGTCGGCTGTAAGCTATGATCTCCCTTCTTCCACCTGGGTCTTGACATCGTTTGATGTTTTATGATCCTTAGATATGTTTCATGATGAATTTAAAATATTTTAAGGGTATCTCCTCTCAGCCTTTTGGTGAAGATCACATGTAAAATATTTTAAAGGTAATGAATATGTGATGTGGGAAAAGACAAGCAAAACATAGAGGGGAAAATGGTGTATCTCTCCACCATAGTCAGTGTTTTTGGTGTTTTTCGTGTTTGCTTTTCATTTAACTCTCCAGATACACTTGTAAGGATCTAGAAGTTTCAGGAATAAAACCCTGGGCGTAACTCTACTGCTCGTGGACTTTTTCCATGGGGTCGACTTGACATGCGTCAGACTATAAAAGTCAAATGGTTTCTTCCAGATAGATCATGCACAGTCGGCCCTTGACATCTTTGGGGAATTGATTCCAAGACCTGTCTGAATACCAACGTCTATTTGTGCTCAAGTTCTTTGCATACAAAGATATGGTATTAAGCGTGTTCAGAAAATTCACGGAACATGATTGCTATAAAAAATATAAAGGACTTTAAAAAAAAACTCTTTAAAATAGATTTGATTTGTTTGAATGGCAATAACAGGTCTCTCAGATGCTGGTTCAACTCTCAGATGGCTGCACCAGCTGGAGTTGAGCTTGACTCAAGTGAGGAGCTGGGAGCCAGGAATTCTATCCTGCTTTCCCATGTGGATAACAGGGCCCAAGTGCTTAGATCTGTCTGTTGTCTTCGCTGGTGCGTTAACAGGGGACTGGATCAGGAACAGAGCAGCTGGAACTCAAAGCAGGTGTTCACAAAGGGAATGGTGAGTGGCATCAGAAGTGTTGGCTTCGCCCGATGTACCACTAAGCCAGCCCCTCAAAGTATTGGCACTAGAATTTCTGTCTGAAATCAGCTCATAGATAGAATTGGCTTTATTTTTGTTGTTAAAACTTAATAGCTTGCTAATGTTTGCTACATTGAATTGACACAGATTGGCTCTGGTGAGTTTAATTGTAAAATCTGACAGGTAAATAGTAAAATTAGTTGCCAGGCACCAGTCTCAGTGCTTTGTTCACATGAGCACGTTCCTCAAATGGCCATAAAGGTTGGAGCTGAGCTGAACCAAAGCCAGGAGCCAGGAGCTTCTTCCAGGTCTCCCATGTGGGTGCAGGGTCCCAAGCACTTGAGCCGTCCTCTGCTGCTTTCCCAGGCCATGCAGGAAGCTGGGTTGGAAGTGGAGCAGGTGGGATATGAACTGGCACCCTTATGGGATGCGGAGGCGTAGCCTTACTACTCCAGCGAGCTGTCCCCTTGAAGGTGGATCATAACGCAATTGAGGTATTATTACCTTACCCATTCTAGAGAAACCAGCAACATGATTACAGTTGATAGTAATTGTTTCTTTAAATAAATTATAACAAGGGGTATACTTAAACCTTGATTGCCTTAAAATTCCCAGCAAACATGGAGGGAGAGAGAGTGTTAGCTTGAAACACCCAACTGCCACCATTTACTCAGGATCTGCCAATGTTTTGTGATTGACTATTTTTTTTTTCTTTCTGGATTTTCTTAAGGGTTTCCAAGCCATTTCCTTTGAGTGACGGGGATGTTTGGAGACGTGGTCGTCTTGGATTATAATTGTGTGATTTGCAGAGTGAAAGGCAGTACACCTGAATGTTAGCTCTGGGCTGAGGAGCTCTACGTGGCTATTAAACAAAGCCATTTCCTGCTGTATTAATTGTCTTATTTTCAGGGGTGCTGATGTCCCCACCTTTTGGGCCGTTTGTAAGGAGCTCTGAATTGCTGTATAAACATAATGAAATATGGTTGAATTTCGTTATTCAAAATGCTCATCAGAGATTAATCTTCCATTTGATTTTCAAAGTATTATGGCCAGTGTCAAAACTAGCTTTAAAAGAAGAAAAAACAGAGATGGAGGTGGACTGTGCAGATAGCGGCTTGCTGGAGTCCTTCCGTTTTATCAGCTGGATGTTTCCTGTGTTCAAGGTGACTGCCGAGGTGGGAAAGCTCCTGGGAGAAGAGAAGGTGGATGCGATTCTCTGTGTGGCTGGAGGATGGGCCGGAGGCAATGCCAAGTCCAAGTGTGAGTCCTTTCCTGAGTTAATCATTCATCTAGGATTGATTGTGGCCCTGGTGCCAGGCCAGCTGTTGCTCTGTGTCTTCCAGAACATTCACAGTCAACGCTCCCATTCTTCACATGAGGAAGAAATGGCCCACGCAGGGGGACGCTCAATCTTGTCTTCCCAGCAGTGGGAGAGTGAAGTCAGCATTGTTTCCGCCCCAGCCTCACAGGGCTCATTACCGTTCAGGAGTTGCAGGGTGTGTGTTAGCGGGAGGGCGCATCTGCGGGTTGAACAGAGTCAACACCGAACTTTTACTGAAGGCGATTCAATTTTCAACTCTTCCGTATAAACATTTTCAAACGTGCGGAGAAGTTGAACAGTCCCTTAGGCCCTCCATGTCAATTCCATACACATGAGATCTAGGGTCGAGTGTCCATAACTTGAGAAGTCGAACTTCAAAACTTTCTGAGCACCAACTGGACCTTCCCCCACCTCCAACCAGGTGGGCAATTTATGCCTGGCCTCATGTGGTCAGTCCCTGTCAACACATACCCATATTAAAGATACTGTGTAAGAGAACCTTCAGGCTATAAGTAGATAACATACTTGTATATAAAAGAAATACAGTTTATGTTTAGACTTGGTTATACCTCATTATATATGTAGAAATATTCCAGAGTCAGAACAAAAGAATGTGAAAGGAAACTCCGAAATTGGAGATACTTCTAGCCCCACGAAAGTCAGATGAAGTACAGTCCATTTGTCATGGTTAGCATTTGTCCTTGCACCATCCTAGGCTCTCCCTGCTTTGTTGTGTGTGTGCATTCTGTGATTTATCAGCTGTTTGAAAGCAAGACGACAAATCGTATTTCAGTACATGCCTCCAACAAGTCGATCTGTGTAAACTGGCAGTAATATTGACAGACTACTATCCAATCTAGATTCACATTTATTCTATGGCTTTGACTGACTTATTCCATTCAAGGTTTTTGTACTGTATGGTGTCATTTTTAGTTTTCTTAACTTAGAAATTATTTTCTCGCAGTAAGACTTTGTCATTAATCCAAGACTGTTTTCATAGGGAATGCCCCATATTTCAATTTGACCATGTCTTCAAGGTGCCATTGGATTTTCTCTGCTATTCCTGGCATTTCCTGTGAAATGGAGGTTAGGTCTAGAGTTTCTGGTTAAACATTTTCGAGGCAAGAGCTCTTCCTACTGATGCGGTAGTCTTCATTTTACATCATGTGGGAAGCTCAGCATGTCAGATTTCCCCACCTGTGGGGGATGCCAAAGTTGACGGCTGGTTGAGGTGATAACTACCAGCTCTTCTTTGTGAAGGTGCCGTTTCCTCTTTGCTGTGAGGAAGTGAGGTGTGGGATCCTACTTTGGAACGGTGAGAATGTCCTGCTCCCCAAATACGCGTCACTGCAAACATCCTTCAGCAGTCCCTGATTCAGGCTCTTACACTGGATGCTGGCAGTTGGTCATTTTGGCTTTTGTATTGCTATGAAAATGCCCTAAGCTGGGAACTTTACGAAGAAAAGGTTCAAAGAGTATGGCCGTGGAATCTTCTTGGCTTTTCGTGAGGTTGTGACTGCATCAGGCATAACAGGGAAGAGCAAGAGCAATTTGGCAGTACAGAGGGAAGAAGGGGGAGTTGACCTGCTCTACAGCAACTCCGCCATGGCAGCGCATCGCATCCCATTCCCGTGAGACCTAACCAGGTCTTGAGAGAACCAACCCTGTGCTTGGAGAAGGACATAAATCCAGGGTAAAGGTTTTGTCCTTGTGATCTAATGACTTCTTAAGTCTTCCCCCACCTCTCAATACTGTTACATCAGTGACCCAGCTTCTGGCATCTTTGGGAGGCCACTCCTGTCGTAGCAATGGCAAATTTGTGGTTATGTCAGAGGGACCATGTTGTGGAACAGGACTGGGGGCTTTCTTGAGCGTCGGGCTATACAAGTTGAATTTGCACTTTTGTTTTCTTCCCTGCGAGTACTAAAGCCACTTTCCCCCCTTCCCAGCTCTCTTTAAAAACTGTGACCTCATGTGGAAGCAGAGCATGTGGACGTCCACCATCTCCAGCCACCTGGCCACCAAGCACCTCAAGGATGGAGGCCTCTTGACGTTGGCTGGAGCCAAGGCAGCCTTGGAAGGGACTCCTGGTAAAGCCTTTTGCCTTTATCTGTGAAATGGAAATATTTACCTTGCTTGCTGGGGCTACTGGACGCTTCTGTGGGACAAGGATTAGTAAGGGCCTTGAGCCGCTGAGGGACTTTGATGTGTTGGATGAATTCAGCTTCCTTCTAGTTCAGCATCTTTTTAGGGGAGGGATCCTAGCAGCCTCATAAATGAAGAGTGATTTGTTTATCTCTGATCCAGTTAGGAGAGAGTGGTGTTACAGGTACTAATTAGTTAATAACACATGTTACTATAGCCCCATGGTGTCCATGGGTCCCAGGAAAGCAGCTCAGAGCTTACAAATCACCAGGGCCTTAGAATGAGAGAAATTAGGGGTTGGGGGTCTTCTTCATCCCAGTCTCTCTCACCAAATTTCTGCTCATGAAACAGTCACAGTAATATCCAACTTGAAAAGAAGCAAGAAAGCTGTAGAGGTGGTACTGGGTACAAAGTGCCCAGGGACATAGAAGGCATCGGTCAGGGGTCGCTGTTTCTGTGTTCCCAGGTACCCTGGGTCTTCCTGTATTGACAGCAAGTGCTGCTTTTATGTGCAAGGTAAATGGTAGGCCTTGTACTCACAGTTAGAGAATAAGTCTTAATGTAATCATGCTTTGCGTTTCACACCTAAGCTCATTTAATCCTGCAGTAGGCATCAGTTTTATCTGTTCTAATTTATGGGCTAGGAAACAAAAACTTAGAGTTAAGTAACTTGTATGAGTTTCTGCAGTAACTTACACACTGCTTTGGACCCAAACTCTGACCATGCATTTTCCATTACAGTGTGGAGACTGATTTAGCCTTGGTGTTTTGGCTGCTTGTGTTAGAGTCCTGGGCCTGCCACGGGTCGGGGGCCTGAGACTGTAGGGATGTGGACGCTAGAAGCCTGAGCCCAGGCTGTGGCGGGTCGGTGCCTCCTGTGGCCTCTCCCCTTGGCGTGTGGATCTGACTCTCCACCCGTGCCCTCACGAGGTCCTCACGTGGTCCTCATGTGGCCCTCCCTGCATGAGTCTGTGCTTACATCTTCTTTTCCTCAAGATTGATTTATTTGATAGGCAGTGTTACTGAGACAGTAGGGTGGGAGGAGAGAGATCTTATTTGTTGGTTCACTCCCTAAATGACCACAGCCACAACAGTCAGCTAGACCAGTCTGAAGCCAGGAGTCAGGAGCCCAGAGCTTCTTCTGGGTCTCCCACATGGATGCAGGGACCAGAGTATGTGTACCATCTTCCACTGCTTTCCCAAACACATAAGCAGAGAGCTGGATCAGAAGCGGGGCAGCCAGGACTTGAACTGGTACCCATATGGGAAGTGAGCATGGCAGGCAGTGGGTGTACTCACTAGACCACAGAGCAGCCTTGCGTGTCTATATCTCCATTTCTTCTTGTAAGGACACTGGTGATATTGGGCTAGGGTTCACCCTAGTGATCTTGTTTTAACTTCCTTACTCTTTAAAGATCTTGTCTCCAAATACAGTCGCATGCTGTGATATTGGGGCTGGGATTTTATGTCTGGTCCTCCCATTGGGAAGGGATGTAAGACCCCACATGGGAAGCAGAGAGAGGCAGGGCTGTCTCCTCCGCACCTTTTTAAACTGCGCTTAAGAGGGGAGGGATTGGAGAGGGTTTTTTTTGACCTGGTCAGCAAGGGGCTTCACATACCTCCTCAGTTTTCACAGAACTTCCTCCACTGGGAGGCTTTGACTGATTAGCAGTACCCTACCCCCCATTTCCTACATTCCTGAGAGCATTTGCTCTTGGGCCTGTGGCTGCTGCAATAATTAAAGCTGTGTAAATGTTAGATGTGCGTTTGATTGAGATCTGAATTTTATTAAAAGGGACACAGCAGAGAAGCACTGGAAACGAAATGGAAAGATGAGTGAAGGCCTGACATTTAGAAGGCAGAACCCCAGGGCGGAAAGACTCATTGGGCTGAAGGCCAGGAGCCCGCTTCCCCTAGGACTGCGAGTGCAAGACGGGTCGTTCTGGCTGGCAGTGACGTTTGATGAGTTTCAGACTTCACCGTGCTGAGAAATAGTGTAGCTTTCAACTTTTTGCTTTCAGGACACTGTAGAAAATTATCTGAGCTAGCCACTGCTTTGTTATAAAGGAGGCTTTCTGTTGGGTGATTTTGCCCAACTGTAGACTGACAGTAAGTGTTCTGCACATATTTAAAAACATTTATTTTTATTGGAAAGTGAGATATCCAGAGAGGAAGAGAGACAGAGAGGAAGATCTTCCATCTGATGATTCACTCCCCAAGTGGCTGCATCGGTCGGAGCTGAGCCGATCCGAAGCCAGGAGCCCGGAGTCTCTTCTAGGTCTCCTATGTTCATGCAGGGTCCCAAGGCTTTGGCCATCCTCGACTGCTTTCCCAGGCCACAAGCATGGAGCTGGATGGGAAGTAGGGCTGCAGGGATTAGAGCTGGTGCCCATATGGGATCCAGTATATTTAAGGCAAGGACTTTAGCTGCTAGGCTATCACACCGGGCCTCTGCACATGTTGTAATATAAATATGAAATGTAAAACTATAAATGATTATTTGAAAAGTAGAAAGGGAGGGAGAGATTAAAGATCTTCCATTTGCTGGTTCAGTCCCCACACGTCTGTAACAGCTGGCACTGGCCTGGTTAAAACTAGGAGCTTGGGCCTTACTCTATGTGCTGTGGTGTGGTTGGCAGGGACCCAAGCACCTGAGCCATCGCCTGCTGCCTCCCGGAGTCCAGGGAGCCGGGATGTGAACCAAGACATCCAGCTGCCCGATGTTTACCACTGTAAACACCCGCCCCAGGGATATACCCAAAGGAGCGTGCTGGGATCCCTTTCGCTTACCATTTAAGGATCTGTGCTGGGATTAGACATCCGGTTTTGGAGACCACATTGATCCTTTTATACTTTGGTAAAAGGCAATCCTTTTTTTAGTGAGATACATTATTTTTTCCATTTCTTGCAAGTGATCTGCTGGCCCGCTGTATCCCAGGGGAGAAGTGTTGTGCACGAAGGCCTGGGTGGCAGGCTGGCTGCTGGCCTCTGTCGGAGTCCCTGCTCTTGGGTGGTGAGAGCGGGGTGAGGTGTGAGCCTGGAGGCTGCCTCGCGGGACGTTCATGTCCTGGTGTGTTCACCATGGACGAGTTCGTGACATTTATACTGCCACGTGCCTCCCGCCTCCTGGAAGGCAGAGAAGCGGAAGTTGGTGGGATGTTCTTCATGGCGCCCGGGGGAGTCAGGCGGTCTCGCGGTTGGGTCCCCAGCTGGTCGGTGATGCCTCTTCTATGCTTTGTTTTCATTTTATTTGAAAGGTAGAGAGAGGAATAGCAATAGAGAAGGATCTTTTTTTTTTTTTTTAGATTTATCCTTCCCCCCTTTTATTTATTTTTTCTCATTGGAGAAGTACACCTACAGAGAAAAAAATCCTGCATCCACTGCTTCACTCTGCAAATGGCTGCAATGCCCAGAGCTGAGCCTATCTGAAGCCAGGAGCCAGGAGCTGTCTCTTCTCCTCTTGGGTCTCCCATGTGGTGCAGGGTCCCAAGGCCCTGGGCCATCCTCTGCTGCTTTCCCAGGCCACAAGCAGGGAGCTGGATGGGAAGTGGGGTATCCTTGATATGAACTTGTACTCACATAGAATCCCAGTACCTGAAGAGGAAGGACAAGCCAATAGTGCCGTTGTGCTGGGCCCAAGGGAGATGTTTCGTCTTCTGATTCTTTCTCCAAATGCCTGTAATAGTCAGTGCTGGGCTGGGCCAAAGCCAGGAGCCCAGAACTCACTCTGGATCTCCTGTGTACATGGCAGTAGGTTCCAGGTCCTTTTTACTTCTTCTTTTTAAAAGATTTATGTATTTTTATTGCAAAGTCAGATACACAGAGATGAGGAGAGACAGAGAGAAAGATCTTCCATCTGATGATTCACTCCCCACATGGCCGCAATAGCCGGTGCTACCCTGATCCGAAGCCAGGAGCCAGGAACTTCCTCCAGGTCTCCCACATGGGTGCAGGGTCCCAAGGCTTTGGGCCATCCTCGACTGCTTTCCCAGGCCACAAGCAGGGCTAGATGGGAATAGGGGCTGCTGGGATTAGAACCGGCACACATATGGGATCCCGGCACGTTCAAGGCAAGGGCTTTAGCCACTAGGCCACCTCTGCGCTGGGCCTTTTTACTTCTTTTTAAAGGAATTTATTCCCTTACTTTTTTTTTTTTTAAGATTTAACTTATTTGAAAGAGCTGTGTGGAGGAGAGGTTTTCCATTCACTGGTTCACTCTCCAGATGTTCACAACAGCCAGGGCGAGGCCAGGGGGAAACGGGAGCCGGGAGCCTTCTCACATGAGAGGCAGGGCCCAACCACTTGGGTCACCTCCCACTGCTTTCCTGGGTGAGTTAGCAGGGAGCTGGATCAGAAGTAGAGCAGCCGGAACGCGAACTGGCCTCCACCTGAGATGCTGGTGTCACAGGAAGTGGCTGTGTGTGCTGTGCCAGCCCTCAGATCCTGAGCCGTCAGCTGCTGCCTTCCAGGTGTGCGTGAGCAGGAGGCTGGATTGCAAGCAAAGGCACGTGACTGGAGTCAGGCTCGTTGAGATGGGATGTGAGTATCCTAAGCAGGGTCTTTAGGCCTGTGCCAGATGCTCATGCCTGCCGTTAGCTGGTGCGGGCTTCTCAAGGATGCTCTACCTTTTCATTCTGTTTTTCCAAGAACTTTTTGAGGTGCCCTGATTTGTCAAAGTTTGCTCAAATGGGTGCCATACCAGCATTGCAGTTCTGTTATCCTTCAGGTAAGTTTGCATTAGACACAGATAGCATTACGTTGAGGTGCTGGGCTCGGACCGAAGCCCTCCCTCCACTGCACCTGTCTGCATTTGCTTTCAGTGTGGGGTAACTACTGACCCTTGACTACAAATTAAAAAGCATTAACAACAACACCAATGTGCAGTGATTTTAGCTGACTTTGTGAAGATCACCTGGCTCCCAAGTGGGCAGCGGGAGCAGACTGGCCAAATGAGGAAGTGGAGGCCTGAGCCGTTATCTGAGTACCTGCTTGGCTGGCAGGGAACCTGCTGTGTGTGACTCTGCCCTGGGAAGGTGTGAGAATGGAGCTGATCCCTTAGGGAGCAGGGTCTTGCCTGGCTGCCGGCTGTCGGCCTGGCTCTTCTAGAGCATTTGAATCAGCAAACGGGAGCTTGCTCGCTCACTCGCTCTCTCTGCTTTTCAGATGATTCAGCCTATCCTTCCCTTCATGGAATTTATCTCATTTTGAGAGCAAGTTGCTTCTGTGCCTGGTTTTGGGCCTTGGGCATCAGTGTGACACTGGGCAGATGCTGAGAGAGCTGCTGCCCCCTGTCCGAGGCACAGTGAAGACGACTGGCATCTCCTCCTGGCCCTGGCCTTCGGGTCCTTCCTACAGCCAAGGAGCCACCTTGCCTTTCTTGCTGTTTCTAACACCGAGCATGGGGACTCTTAGGGAGAAGAGGCTGGAAGACTTGTGATGAATGAGGTGGGGTTTGGATGCCTGGAGCAGGCACACCCTGGCAGCCCCTTTTTTCCCAGGCGCTGGCTCTGACGTCAGAGTGAGGCAGGTGTGTGTAATGCTAATCAGAAAATGCAGCATCAAGGCCAAACTGCAATGACGCCAGTTGTGTCCAAGGAGCACAGTCTGTCCTCCCCACCCCTGAGAAGAAAGTGGCCTTAATGACCAACAGACTTGTGCTTGACAGAGTGGACGGGTGCGTTATCTCCAGGACAGACTCAGTGACCATGAGCTGGTGGGAGGGTGTGACATCGGCTTCCCTTGCTGCCCCCAGCCCCGGGGAGAGCATCTCCCAGGCCAGGGGCTTAGCCTCGGCCCGTGCAGTCGGTGCATCCCACACCTGTGGGTTCCCTTGGTGCGTGTGCTCCACCATGTGCACAGCTTAGGTCTCTGCTTTCTCTCCTGTGTCCAGAAGGAGGAACGGCTCAAGTCTGGCTTGGGAGAGCAGGCTTCTTGAGCTCCAGGTCTGGGAGCCTGGCCGCTACTCCTCATGGCCAACTGAGAATAGAACATCGGTGACCCTGCAGTGGCCCCGGGGAGCCTACGTTCTTGGAAGCTGGCCAGAGCCACATGCTCAGCACTGTCCCCTTTCTCTTGGCTCACTGTGCTCCCTGTCTGAAGGTGGCAGCCAGGTGCAGCTGCGGGTCGAGATCTCAGGAAAGAGTTGCTCACAAGAAGCCTGTGTCTCCCCATGGTCACTCTAGCGGCCTCTGTAACTGAGCTGTTTTCTCTCTTTCCCAGGGATGATCGGCTATGGCATGGCCAAGGGCGCCGTCCACCAGCTCTGCCAGAGCCTGGCCGGGAGGAACAGCGGCATGCCGCCTGGGGCCGCTGCCATTGCTGTGCTGCCGTACGTTCAGGCTGCCCATGGCTGAGTGTCCGTTGTAGTCGGGGGTGTGGGTCTCTTTCCCCCAGGGATTTGTGAGTGTTAGCAACCCGGGTCCTAAAGCCAAAAGAGGCTCCGAGATATTTGTCCTACTGTCCCTGACGCTGAGTCATTTGTAGACCACAAACTTATTGCTTACCATTCCAGAGGCCAGGAAGTTCAAGCTCACGGCACTAGCCGGTTGATATCTGGTGAGCTCCCTGGTCCTCGTGGATGGAGCCACTGATGTCTCGTCCCATGCTGGGAGGGCAGGGGGCTCCCTCCAGCCTCTGGAATACAGACCTCACTCCCACTCAGGGCCTGTGTGAGCTGATGGCACCCACAGGGGTGTGTGAGAGAGAGAGAAAAACTGGCAGGATGTTTCATTTGTGTCCCTGGAAGGATGCCTGCTCCAGCCAGCCTGGCTCTTGCCTCTGGGCTTGTACAGAGGACCCGGGGGTTGCTCGGGGTTACACTGGCTGAGCCTCGCAGTTCCCTGTTGGCTGTAAGGTTCTGTGATGCTGTGAGCTGGCGTCACCACTGTCTCGAATGGTGCCTGAGGCTGACTGTGCTTGGCAGAGTCATACACACAAGAATTCTTTATTCTCTAGCTCAGTGTCTTAAAGTTTCATGGGAAATGGCTATCTCTTAAAAAAAAATGTGGCTTTTCAGTGTGCCCCTGTTTAAGTGAGCGTTGTTGCACTTAAATCTTCCTTAGAAGTGACTCTACTCTGTCTTAGGGAATGAATGAAGACCTGACAATAAAAAATGTTTATTTCAATAGAGAGGAGAGAGAGAGAGAGGGAGAGAGAGAGAGAGAGAGAGAGAGAGAGAGAGAGAGAGGGAGAGAGGGAGAGAGATGTCTTTCATCTGCTAGTTCATTCCCCAGATGGCCACAATGGCTGGAGCTGAGTGTATCTGAAGCCAGGAGTCAGGAGCTTCTTCCAGGTCTCCCCCATGGGTACAGGGGCCTAAGGGCTTAAATTGTCCTCCGCTGCTTTTGCAGTTCATAAGCAGGGAGCTGGATTGGAAGTGCCGCACTAGGGACATGAACCAACTCCCTGGTGTGAATTCAGTGCTGCAGATGGAGGCTTAGCCTGCTAACCCTCTTTGCTGGCCCCTTAATATTTTTTCTGCCTATTTTATTTTTAATTTTATGATACAACCCCAAAGGCTCTGGGATTTCCCTTACAAAATTAATTGTTTTTTTTTAAAAGCAGGCTAAATGTGGGCCCTTACTGTTTTATCCTTGTCTGCCTAAAGGCTCGGCCACGAAGTGCTTTACTCTGATGTGAGCCGCTGGACGTGGGCAGCTGCCTGGTCTCTGCTGTCCCCCCCGGCACACTGTGCAGATGTCAGCCTCGGTGCCAGAGGCTGTGTGGGTGGAACTGCTGACCAAAAGGACTGGCCGCCTGCTCACATCAAGGTGATTGACAATGACACGCTTATCTCTCCGCTTTGCAGGGTTACCCTGGATACGCAGATGAACAGGAAATCAATGCCAGACGCCGACTTCAGCTCCTGGACACCCTTAGATTTCCTGGTTGAGTGAGTATTCTGCTAGCATCTATGGCCAAGGAGATGTCAGCCACCTTTCTCTGCCTTTTCTTTTTTTTAATCTTTTGTTTTTCCTTCCTCTGCCTTTTGTGGATCAGAGGACAAGCCTGTGTCCTTGTGGATTGTCAACATGGGGTTCTTGGAGGGGACCAGGCTCTAGGGGTTTGGCACACTAGGGCCTGGTTCTGGGGACAGGTGGTAGATGGTGCCAGTCTGGGACCTGTGACAGACTGAGCATGTCACTTACCTGCCATGGGCCTCCATTTCTGCATCTAGGCGTGAGGTACACGGTCATGATGGGAAGTGTTGATGTGGCCACGTGTGCTGCCTGGTAGCAGGTACCCAGCTAAACTCAGCACCTGTTGACAAGCCAGTGAATGAGAAGGGGACACCGAGCCAGAGGGTGTGGAATTGTGTGTTGAGCTCAGTGCTGGGCCACTGAGCTTCATTTTTGCTTTGCTTTGTACAAATTGAGCATTAGGCACTATTCGCAGTCTAGGCCGAAACAAGTGTCGCATCCTGGTTAACACTGTGGGGACTGGAGCCACAGTGCCCGGTCACTTCCTGGCTGTCACATCACCTTTCTACTCCCTTCCCATAGTTAGAATGGCCTTGCTTATCCTGTCCAAGCTGAGGATACACCGGCCCCTACACGTCAGGACACGTGACTGGTCTCCTAGGGAACGGTCCTCTGGCCCAGCCCTGCTCTGCTCCCAGGGATGTGGCCATGAAACATGCCTAGTGCTCCAGGGAGCCTGTGTGGCACGTGGCCTTGCCATGTGCATTCTGATGGCTTGGCAGCCTGGCAGTGGGAGCTGCAATGGATTGGCTGTTTTCCATCACATCCAGCCCAGAAGGTTATGGCCTGACACCAGGAGTGCCCCAGACGAGAAGGCCTAAGGCAATTACGTGAATTGCCCAAGTGAGTGAAAATGCTCTGTTTCCAAAAGGCGTCAGTGACTTGTCAGTGCTGTGACTTTGGTTCCCTTTTCAGCCATGCTCCTCCCTGGGGGGTCCAGCGTTAATGCCCCCTGCACTGCTGCTGATAGTTTATTGCCATAATCTGGTTTTTACAGTTTTTTCTCTGTGCTTAGCCTGGGATGCTCCATAGACAGTCACTAGCACAAACAAAAACATTCATTTCCTCTTTCTCCTCTATTTGTGAGAAAGTTGTGTAGCCAAGTTTAAGGTATTAGGGATGTGTCACTAGGAAGTAATGAATTAATAATCAGTATTAAGCACTTAAAACTAATGTGTTATGAAGAATTCCAAGAGTGCAGAAAAATACAAACATGCAAAGTTGAAATGACACTCAGTCCTGCCCTTCCTGCATTTGAATGAGTTAAGTTCTGGACTTCCGGGGCACCCGGGTGTAGGGCCCTGTGGCTCGGTGGCTTTGGTGTGGCCGCTCTTGTCTCCTCCGCCCTCACAATTATTGATGTGATTATAACCACAAAATACAGGATCTTCACTTTGAAAATATAAAGCATCTTTTCTTTGTTCTAGCACTTTCCATGACTGGATCACAGGGAAAAACCGACCGAGCTCAGGAAGCCTGATGCAGGTGGTCACCTCGGAGGGAAGGACGGAGCTCACGCCAGCGTACTTCTGAACTTCTGTCGTCCTGTCCGTGGTTCGGGAGAGCGGGTCCTGTCTCCCTCTCACCTGACGTTTTCCTGTTCCCCCAGGATGGTGTACTGTGTTCATGTAAAATAAAACTGTGTGTGTGCAAGCCAGCCTGTGTGTGTGTGTGCGCCAGCCTGTGTGTGTGTGCAAGCCAGCCTCTGTGTGTGTGTGTGCAAGCCAGCCTGTGTGCGTGTGCAAGCCAGCCTCTGTGTGTGCGTGTGCAAGCCAGCCTGTGTGTGTGTGTGTGTGTGCAAGCCAGCCTGTGTGTATGTGTGTGTGTGTGCAAGCCAGCCTGTGAATTGCATTCGTCCGACTGTGGTGGATGTAAGTGGCGGGGGGGCACTGTCTGTCATTGACCGTGTGTTGGCTCTCTTTGGAGGTCACACTTGACATGTCCTTGACGGCACCTGCCACCTTGGCTGTTAGAGCGAGCTCCCGGGACCGGGGCATGTCGAGGGCCCCGGTACCTCCGAGTGTCACCTATGTGTTGTAGACCGTTGTTGCAGCCTTGAGTGAGACTGCCTTACAAACCCTTGGCATCTGCCGAGTCCTGTGCACAGTGTCACGTGCCCTGCCCGGCTGAGGGCCGAACGGACGAGGGAGCTGCTTCTGAGTGTGGGGGTGTTTTCCCTAATACACACCTTTTGTATATTGCGTGGTCTCCCTTACTCGGGCCACGCTGGTGGCACAGTGGGTTAGGAGACTGTCAGTGGAGCGTGAACTGCTGGCGGTCTTGCTGTTCTGCAGAAGCGATGGGTTTCCATCCTGCCGGGAGTTCCTTTAACACAGCCTGATGTTCCTGATGTTTTTCTACCTTGTAGCAACTCACTGCTTTCTGTGGCTAAATAATACCCCACCGAATAGATGAAGGGGTTTCCAGAAGCTCCGTGGAAATGCGTGTTGTGAGAAAGCTGTGTGTGCGTCTTGCAATTTAATAAACTCTTAGTTTCTCCTTTCCACAGACCATTGGAAGTGCCTGGACCTGCATGGCAGCTTGGTGCTGCGTTGAGCTCCTCTGCAATGCGGGCTGTTTCTGCCTTTTGGCTGTTGCACGTGGTGGCGTTGTGAGCAATCACGTGCGAGGATTTGCATATTGGGGTGCAGTTCTTTCCGTTGTATAACTAGGCGTGAGATTACTCACCTGGTATGAGGGAACCCAAGAAAGCTGATTTTCTTTCTTTTTTTTCTTTCTTTAAAAATTTATTTATTTTTGGGCCTGGTACAGTAGCCCAGTGGTTAAAGTCCTTGCCTTGTATGTGCCGAGATCCCATATGAGCACTGGTTCTAATCCCAGCAGCCTCCCTTCCCATCCAGCTCCCTGCCTGTGGCCTGGGAAAGCAGTTGAGGACGGCCCAATGCTTTGGGACCCTGCACCCGTGTGGGAGACCTGGAGGAAGAAGCTCCTGGCTCCTGGCTTCGGATTGGTGCAGCTCCAGCTGTTGTGGCTGCCCGGGGAGTGAATCAATGCGTAGAAAATCTTCCACAATCAGGGAAGCTGGAAGAGATGTGGAGCAGCCAGGGTACGAACCGTGCCCGTATGGGATTTATTTTTTGTGGTGGACATTTTTACAAACTTTCTGGAGAGCCCTTTGATTTGAAAGGCAGAGTTGCAGACAAAGAGGGTGAGACAGGGAGATCTTCCATTTGCCATTTCCCTCCGCAAATGGCCACAGTGACTGTGGCCGGTCAGGCTGAATCAGACAGGGGCAGGCCAATCTGCTAGTTCCCTCTCTGAATGTCTGCACTGGCTGCGACTGGGCCAGAACAAGGCTGGGAAGCTGGATTTCACTCCCGCTCTCCCACCTGAACGCCAGGGACCCCGGCACTGCTTCCCACGCACTCACGTAGCAGGCGGAGGCTGGCGTCAGGACTGGGACCTAGCGTGGGACACAGGCATTGTGATCAGGGATGCTTTAGATGGAGATTCTAATTCTGGATGGGCTGGAAATTTGAATAAGAAAAACGGGAGTGTCCATCTCATTGGTTAGCAGAAAATTGGAAGTTGAGGTCACTGAAGTAGCTGGTCACAACATTCAGTACATTGAGTCTGCAAAGCCTGCTGGGGGCAGGGGCAGACTTGCTTTGCCAGGAAACTTGCTGGTCTGTCTTCGCTCTGTCAAACTTCGTACTGTTTGGTCTTAAGTTCATATCTTAAAATACTGTGCAGCCATTAGAAACAAGGAGAGCATTTCATAGCAAATGTAACTCTTGCATCGATTACTGAGATCCTGGGGGACCCGGAAGTCCACGAGGGGCATTGTTAGAGCATGGCAGTGGATGTTTATGTAATTGAGCTGTTTGGCCTCAGGCTGCCCTGGGCCACAGTTTGAGTTGCTGTAAAAGTTTCCTCATCCGTATGAACCCTAACTCAGCACAGTTTGCAAGCTCACCATCTCCTGCTCGCTCTCTTTTTGAAATACTTTTGAAATATTTTAAATTATTTTTTATTGGAAAGTCAGAATTACAGAGTGGAGAGACAGAGAGGGAGATCTTTTATCTGATGATTCACTCCCCAAGTGGCCTCAATGGCTGGAGATGAAACTGATCTGAAACCAGGAGTCAGGAGCCTCTTCTGGGTCTCCCATGCGGGTGCAGGGTCCCAAGGCTTTGGGCTGTACTCAACTGCTTTCCCAGGCCACAGGCAGGGAGCTGGATGGGAAGCAGGGCTGCAGGGATTAGAACCGGCATACATATGGGATCCTGGTACATGCAAGGTAGGGACTTTAGCCACTAGGCCACTGCGCTGGACCCCATTGCCTACTCTTGTAGAGTGAGTCTGAGCCAGTCACAAGGTGCCAGCCATCAAAGTGTGTCCAAGTAAGATTGACAACAAGCCCGTGGGCTGGCTGGGTACTGGCACCTGCTTTCTGTGTCTGCTCTGGTTCAAAGCCAATCACCTACCCAGGTCGGGGCGACAGGAATTCTGGAATGTTTTTGTCGGATTCATAGCCTGAGTCTAGAATCTCAATGTCAGTTTAAACCTGCGAGACCCGATGTGCTACAATTTTGTCTTTTTTAAAGATTTATTTTTGTTTGAAAGGTAGAGTTACAGGGAGAAGGGGAGACATACAGAGAGATCATCCATCTGCGGGATAACTCCCCAAATGGCTCAGGCAGAACTGAACTGATCCAAAGCCAGAAGCCAGGAGTGTCTTCTGGATCTCCCACATGGGTGCAGGGGCCCCAGGACGTGAGCCATCTTCCGCTGCTCTCCCAGTGCATAGGGCAGGGAGCTGGATTGTAAGTGGAACAGCTGGGACACAACCTGGTACTCATGTGGTAGTTTGGCCTGCTATGCCACATTATAGAACACCAATGATTTTGTCTTTTAACAAGATTGGCAGCAATTCAGAACTGTCAAACTGTCAAGACCACTTGAGCAGGACCCTCGGAGCATGCCCCACATCGGGGACCTAGGATGGGCGGGAGGCTTCTCCCTTTATCAGCTTTATCCACTTTCCTGTAGCCCTGGACCCTTTGTGCCCTAATTAACTATGTAGAGATTATAAAATAAAATGACTATAAAAGACCCAAGATGATTGCAGTATTATGATGCTGTAGTTCCTGCACTAGCCAATGAGGCAACTTCTATTATGCCCAGGTTACAGATAAGGGTGGCCTAGACCAGTGTGACACCTGTGTGACACCTGTGTGCTTAGCTCACAGCTCCTGGGGTCAGCTGCGATGACTCCCCACTCACAGGTCCCTGCCCCATCTTTCTAGAACTTTCAGAGCATTCATTGGGGCCTGAGGGCGCTGATCTCACTGGACCCAACCCAGGAGGTGAAGTAACCAACCCAAACTGCCCACTGTTTGCTAATCTGGGCAGTGGTGTTGGGACAGGCGGGGGTGATGGGGCTTGGCCCATTTCTCTGCCTTTCCCCTCCACGCTTGGTGCTCCGACCCTCAGCTCCGGAAACGTGGCAGGATTTAATAAAGCATAAAGCCTTAGGTCCTGTTTAGAAATGGTAGCACTTGCCCAAACCCGGCGGATTCTTAGCTCAGAAGAAATCTGGCTGGGAAGGGCTTGCCCCTCCTCCCACCCCAAAGGTGGCCGCTCCTCAACTCCTTTTCACAGCCTTCCAGGGTCCGCCTTTTCGGGGGGCCCCTAAGTCAGAGCCCCCAGTTCCCAGCTCTCCCCCTGCTTTCCAGGTGGCAGTTTTTGCCCTGTGTCTGTGGAGTGGCTCACCTCTTTATGTACCCTCCTTATCCTCCCCGAACCTTGACATTCCGGTGATCCCGGTCCCCCCGGGGGCAGGCGACGGGCTGCTGGGAGCGCGGCTGGGGACCGGCCCTGACCCTCAGCCTCACCGGCCACCACGGTGAGGCAAGAGCCGGAGCGCTTTGATCCCAGCAGCGGCCCCTGTGCTGGCCACCCACACCCGTGGCACGGCCTTGCAGGTGAAGCAAGGGAAAGGGGGCGGGGCCTCTGTGTGTTTGCTGATGTCTAAATCCATGAACTTGGTGGTGTTTGCATCCCTTGGACTCTGCTGTCCCCTCGGCCTCGCTCCAGCCCATTTTCACTTCGTTCCTTCCATAATGTCTTGATATTATGGTCACTCCAAGGGGCTCACAAAGGCCCCCCGGTGGGGGTGAGCCAGTCACCCAGGAGGGCTCATCATGTGATGCTTGTGTGAAAACTATCGTTCTGGCTAGTTTTATTGTTTGGGTGCCATGCAGAAAGCTCTTTAAAATCTTCTTGACTGCCCCAGCCGGGAGCTGACCATGCAGACTGGTGACATGGCTGTAATGTGCGTTCTGTATTTAGCTCTGCCTGCTCTTCCATACCGGCTTTCTCAGGCACAGCTTGGGTCGTGCACAGCTGCAGGGCATAGCGAGGCACCTGTGGCTTGCAGAGGCGGTTTAGCCCGCACTGTGCCTGGGAAAGGAAAACGCTGGTAGGCGTCGTTCCAGCACCGTCCACGCGGTGGCACTGTGGGCTTGGCTTGCTGACTTCAGTGGCTTCTGGTGAACCCACACCGCTTCCTTGCTCCAACACGCGGCGTGTCATTGCACCTGCGTGCGTTCCCACGGGACTGCGAGTCTCCAGGGAGCCCTGAGGGTCAGCTCTTCTGGCGGATACTGTATGCCTCATTTTCTCGGGTTCT